GATCAAAATTGTAGAAAATATAATTCTTTCCAACTTTGTTTATGTATATTTATGTCGTAAAGTCAATAACAAACGAGATAATTCAATAATTATACTTTGTCATTATTTTCCCCCTTAACTTGAAAAATATCGATCGCACGATAAAATTTGTAAGGAAAGAAGTTGTAGTAAATCGTATTTGCAACAACTTAAGTCCTTACCATTTTTGTTGTAAAGTTGAAAATGGCCAATATATTGAGCAAAAACGATTTTTCCTTAAATTCAAGATGGCGGCTGACGTAGGGGTGGAATTCAGGGAAAGGTTAGAACAATAAAATTGTGGTTCCTAATTTTTTCCCGGTTAAACCCTTTTTTTGTTTAACCCGACTGGAGTATAAGATTTCTGTAAAATGCGTTACCTTTTATTTTCAATTACATCGTCCGTCAAATTTTTAGAAATTTCAAGAATTCTATACAAACATTTTTACTTTTTTTGTATGTGGCAAACACTGACATAATTTTCTGGTCATATAATGTATGATTTTATTTTACCGGACTTGATGTTGGCAAACTTAATTTTGAAACAATCATTCTTTAATTGAATTCGAAAAAATTTAAAATTTTTAGTATAAAAAAATTCAATGAAATTTGAAATATAGAAATTTTAAGTGATACTATAGCTATAGCCACACAGCCAGATTATTGATAAAAAAAAATCCCTGTCATAATTTTCCCAAAAATTTGTTCCAATAAAAGAAAAAATCACAGGAAACTATGGATTGCCAATTGTATCATCTTATTTGGTTCAACAAGTATATATAGTAGGCCACCTAAGAGGAATCCTTCTGTAACCCTGTAACTTTAAAATTTATAAAAAAATGTTTAAATAAAAGTTGCCTGGAATCATGTGAGCCATGTAAAGAAAATATTTTTAGCTTTCTAAGAATTCTAAGAAAAATGCAATAATATACAGGATGTGCCATTTAAAATAACAAAGTTATGTAGCGCACACGCGAAATGGCACACCCTGTAAAGTTACAAATATTTTCTTTACGTGGCCAACATGATTCCAGACAATTTTTATTAAAACCATTTTTTATCAATTTTACAGTTAGAGTTATATAAGAATCCCTCTTGGGTGGACCACCCTGTATATAAATAATATTCATTGAAATCGTGCGTCATAGAAAAGTTTTACCTGTTACTTATTCTCACCTTTTGCTCAGATGCTGCTGAAGAGCTGTCTTGAAATTTTCATTACCTCCGAGTATTATATTTACCATATGTAGGATGCTTGCTCCTAAAATGTAATTAATTCCGAAAGGAAATCAAAATTA